TGAGCTTTTCCAGCAACTTTGTTTTTGTTCCTGGCTCTCATGTACAGTATCTTAAAGAGCATAACTTGTGCACAGTACTTGCCAGATTATTGCAAAGCCGTTCAGCCTAGAACAATGCTTCGTAAACATTTTACGTTGTGACTCCACTTTCATGCTGCAGACCGTGTGACCCCTCTTCCTCTTAAAATTACCTCTGACTAAGATTTTAGCTATCTGCTTTACTATTTGCCTTTTGTGATTTGGTGCCAAATGTTGCTTTATGATGCACTCATGAAGTGCCTTGGAACAATTTACTATTTTCAAGTTGCTTTATAATGCAAGTTCTTGCAAGTGTGTACAGCTCAGTAATTTAAGATTGAAATTATACCACAATCTGCCTGATGGAAACCTGCTTTACTTCACTTTCGGGAGCAGGTATGCTTTTTTAGACCCGACATGGAAAGATGTGACCTCCCTTGCCGAGATATCAGCTGCTCCCAATAGGCTGTTCTAGAGGTACCTTCACAATTTATTTATTCTACTAATGTTAGGCAACCTGGGCGGCTTAATTTTTTTCCCCAGAGGATTCACCTGCAATTCCTGCCGATGAGACACAATCTGAAATATCTTGCCTGATGCCATAGATGAGCTCCAGCATGCTTCATAATCCACCCTTCCAAAGTCTAAAGTAAGGGATATTGATAAATCTAGTGAACAATCAAAGGAATCTATTCCAGCTTTATTATTTTTGATATTTAATGTAATTAATACAGATGGATAGTTCCCTGTCTTGATGCACCCATACTATATGATCAAACTGTCTTGGAATAAAGCACTTTCTCCTGAGTGAGTGTGACCCTAACAACTCTTTCAGACTTCGTGCTTCATTATAGTTAAGTCTAATTTGAGGGATCATAGTTCAATGGACTAGAATTTGCTACAGTAATCAATATGTTTTTAGGCTTAATTTTTAGTCAAGCTTCTAAATGATAAATTTATTCCCAGCATTATGGAAAATTTTTTTTTTTCAACGTGGTAAGGAAAAACGATTAAGGTTTAATAAACAAAAAGATTTGGTAAAAGAGATTTTGTTTTGGAATCTTTTTAGGATTTGGGAGTAGCTGAGGAAAATTTAAAAGCCAGAGCGTGTACACATTTGCATCCTCCTTTTATCGCTCTTCAGGTACATGCCCAATTCTATGCTGTTGGAAATTGTTATTGCATCTTAATTGAATTGCTAATTTTGTATATGTGCATAATCAGATCATAGCTGCAGATTGTAGAGTGGCTTTTTTGAGTTATAGTTGAGTGCCCCCTAGTGTATGTGAGAAAGATCAAAGTTTACAGGAGAAATCCATTTTAAAATGTATCTTTTTGCGTTAGCGGAAGGGCAAAATAGCAATGTAAAATGTTTGGCTTATAAATAGACGTCAGAGGCACATTCTAAAGTTTTGATGTCATAATTCCAAATAATAATCAAGCTTGGTGTGTCCACCCTCTAACTTGTGTTGTGAGAGAGTAAAGGCACTGCATTCTTATTCAAGTGGAATCAGCAGCTGCTTTGCAGGTTTCTTCTGCAAATCAGAATTCTTTTACTACCTTACAACTGTCTGTAAAACAGAGACATAAGGGAGCAGATTGTCTTCATGGCTTCTTGTCTTTGAGTGCAAATGTGAAGAGAGGAAGGATAAAGATAACAACCCAACACACTTCCCAAAAAGTGCTTCTAGTTGTTTTTAGATACTCAAATCGTTATATATTATTTCTTCCCATGTGTTACAAAAGAAAATACATACTTTGAATATTACAAAATCATTTGTTTCAATGCTTAGCTTAAGACTATTCTACTGCTGTATCTATTAAATCAATTTATAAAATTAAGTCTAGAAGAATTCTACTGTGACTTTAGAATGTACTGGTTAAGCAGAACTTTGGTCACCACACTATGAAAAAGAAATGGGAGTTGAAGCATCCTGGAACTCCCTATCTATCACATGTGGGAGCAGCATCACTAAAGATTGCAGGGGGTCACAAAGAATGCTATCAACAGCTTCACAGGACTCTTAAGAATTGGGATAAATTGAGCATTGTAAACATTGTCCACATTTACAGAAGTTTATCTTTTTAATCTAGTATATCCTTTTACATGTTAGCATTAGTAGAGTTCTAGTAGCAGTTTGGCAAAATCCACTTTTACTTGTAAATAGTAAATTAGATTGAGAAGCATAAAGTGGAATAAGAGTAATGAAAAGAAATTCACAATGCAGAAATAAAGCACAAAGTATTTTTTATTGTTCTGAAAATTGTCTTCAACACAGGGAGTTTGTAATATTTGGAAGCATATAATTATATTTATATCTTGGTTAATTATACTTGTGAAATATCTGTTTGTCCTACCAGACCAAATACTGGACATTCGTTGAAGAGCATCTACCTAAATGGGAACAGTTTTACTGGGTCAAGCAGAGAACCCTGTTGAAGTGACAAATCCAAAGCATGAAAAATCACAGATGGAAAAAACCTCAAGATAAAGTTACCTTTGAAAGTAATAATTTGCTGCTGTTACCATCTATTTTCAAGACCCCTCAGTCTGCACATCAGAAAAACAAGAAAGAACATAGGTTTACAGAAAAAAGATGGATAACCTGAAAAGTACTTCTGTTAAGAATTAAATTTTAAGATTTGTTAGACATTAATGTTAATTGAACAGATCATGGGAATTTTGCATGACAAATTGATTTCTTTTACATCAGAATGTTTTATTGATCTCATAATTTCAGAATGGAATGATGTAAAGTAAATTCAGAGAAATCTATCAATGCAAAATAAGTGCAATTGACCAAATAAGTGCATCAGATTGGGGAATTTTAAGTCCATTTACACTGAGTAAAATATGTTTCTCAAATCTTGATTTTAAAAATCATTTCTTGAAAACCAACCTACACACAACATTGGCCATAACCTCCAGATCAAAACGATGAGTACTGCAAGTTTACATTGGAGGAGGAGGCACTTTGTAAATTTTTTTAGGCACATGGACACTCGGTTTAAAAAGTTTTTACATGCTGACTAATTGGGTTAAAACTGACTCAACGCAATAGTGAAGCTATTAACTGGTTCAACATAGTTCTTTTCATGTCATTTTCAGAGAATTAAAATCAGATCGTTCACAGGCTGCAAAGACAACATTGCTAAAGCAATGTGGATAAAATTGTACCAAGTTACAAATTCAGTGATTGTTTTAAAGGTGAAAAGCAAATAACCAATTATATTTTATGGTGTGCTTTTACAGATGGTTTAAAATTTGTAATTGTGCAAATGCTTTGGATGTAAACTTACAATCACAGTTTTGGAAAAGCAATACAATTTCAAGCACATTTTTCACCCAGTTTTCTAGTTGCACTCAATGTGAAAATTTTATGCCTCTGCTTGATTATCTAAATAAGTGCTGAGTCAGGCCAGTTGACTTAATATGATGTGATATCTAGCAAAATATTCTGTGAATATCTAAACTGCTTGTGCATGATGTATATTGTTTTCCAATGCTTGAGTTGCACCAAAATTTCCAAAGGCAGTAAAAATACAGCTTTGAGAACACTTGAGTGCCATTGTGCATGCTTTGAATTGATCAGATGCTAGGTTACTTAGATAAGCAAGTGAAAGTTAAATTCTCAATGCATTTTTAAAATGTTTTGTCTTGTAAAATATATTTTCTTATTTAGATTTTGATTGTGGAAGGAATCTATTTTTAAGTTGCAAATCTAGAATATGTTCCATTTTTGAAGACAGGTGGGTGGATTAGCTACGTTAAATTGCCCATAGTGCCCAGGGATGTTTAGGTTAGGTGGGTTAGACAAGGGAAACGTTGGGGTAGGGAAATGAGTAGTGTGGACTTGTTGGGAAACTTGTGTTTCCACACTGTAGGGATTCTATGATGATCCTTAGCAACTTAGGACAACATGCAAGGTCAATGCACTTTAGGTCAGCACGTGGCTCAGTGGTTAGCACCGCTACCTCTCAGCACCAGCAACCTGGGTTCAGTTCCACCCTCGGGCGACTGTCTGTGTGGAGTTTACGCATTCTCCCCGTGTCTGCGTGGGTTTCCTCCCACAGTCCAAAAATGTGCAAGTTCGGTAAATTGTCCATGCTAAATTGCCCATAGTATTCAGGGATGTGTAGATTAGGTAGGTTACAGGGGAATGGGTCTGGGTGGGATGGCCTGAGGTTCCGTGTCGACTTGTTGGGCCGAAGGGCCTGTTTCCACACTGTGGGGATTCTATGATAACTGAGAGAATGATAATATGTTTAGGGGAAAAAGGCAGTATGCTGTTATCAATGAAATAGTTGAGAACCGAAATGGCGAGTAGATGAATGAGTCATCAGGTTATGTTTGCTTAGTTAGTCATATTTTGTTAATTTTGCTAATCTGTGTAGCTCACGCTTTACAGGGAAAGTCAACAAAGCTTTCACTTTTCAGTTGAGTGATGCATGCTGGGAAGAATGTGAATTTTTGGTTTGACCAGTCTTGGCGTTGATGCTATTTATTGTCTGTTAGTTTGAAGTGTGGTCATTGTTGAAGAATTAGCAGTTGGGTAAGATGGACACCTGCTGACAGCACCAAAGCCATGTTCCAGGATGAATCATAATTTCAAGTAACAATCAACTTTTTTATTATAACATTTTTAACGTAAAACCTTCCAAAGTTCTTCACAGGCTGATCATAAAATAAAATAATGTTGAACCATATCAGGGGAAAATTAAGTTAGATGAGCAAAGTATTGGTCAAAGACGTAAGATTTAGAGCCTTAAGGGAGGGAAATCGTGAGCTTGACACCTAGGCAGCTGAAGGTGCAACCACTAATTGTGGATGAATTAAAATTGATCAATAGGAGAACAATAGCAGTGATATGTACAAATGTAATACTTTAAGTCTTTAATTCTAATTAGTATTTTCTCAGCCCCAGCTCAAACTGTGTATTGGTGAGTCAATTGGGAAACTAATAGATCAGGAAAAATTAGGATTAATTGCTGAGGAAAAATGTCTCATTTTCCACCTAAGGTTTTAATGGTTAGGTGAAAATCTCAGTAATGGGTGGCAAGGGGCCTATTTTCAATATTGCATTAACATTTCACTATTGTATTAACACTTCACTAATGCCTCTTCTTGCCTCAGTTATATGCAGGTTGTTCTTTTTTCCAGTGAGGTAAGAAAAACTAAGCAGTGAGAATTCCTCACATAAAAGTCTGAGTGGGTACCTTGTGGCACCAGATTGCTTGCTCTGCTAGACTTTCTCAAAATTACACACACCATTCAAGATATGGTCTCGTCATTGCCCTATATAGTAGAAGGATAACCTTCTCATTTCTATGTTCAATTTCTCTTGTTATGAAGGATAGCATTCAATTACACTTCATAATAACTTACTGTACATGCATACTAACTTTTTGGGATTGATATGCTAAAACACCTGGATCACTCTGCATCTTAGAATTCCACAGTTGTCCTCCATTTAAGTAATGCTTTTCTTTATTTTATTCTTCATGCCAAAATGAACAATTTCACATTTTATCTCGCAATACTTCATCTGCCAGATTTGTCTGCTGAGTCAACCTTTCTAACTGTTTGCACATCATCCTCTTCACAACTCATCTACCTTTTGTGTTGTCTGTAAATTTAGCTACTGTGCCTTCCTTTCCCTCCTCTGTCAATGAAATAAATTATAAAAGTTGAGTCACCAGCACAGACTCCTCTGGGTCCCCACTCATCACCTCGTGTCAATCATAAAAAGACCCGTTTATGCTTGCATGTTTCTATAACCCAACCTATGTCCATGTTAGTGTGAAGAAGGTGTCTTGTGCAGTGGTAGTGTTGTCCCTCCCACTGAGTCAGGAGACCCAGGTTCAAATATGCCTACTCCAAAGGTGTGCTGTAACACTTCTAGTTAAAATACAAACAAAAGAATGATTGGAATGACTTCACTCTGTTGGGAAACTTAACAGAATGATAGATTATTTAACTACTAAACAGCAACTTTTCCAATATAGTGTCTATAATTGTTTGTCTAAGAAAATATTTGTTGGGATTGGTTTCAGAATTTTTAGTCTAGAATTGTTCGCTATCTGGATTGTAGAATGTTAAGAGGTTTAAACTTTAGGTTGTAGTTCTGAACAGAAGGAAACCGATTCTTGCTTTTCACATTCAAATTATTGTAATATTATAGAGTTGGTTAACTCATTTAGCTGGACAGCTGGTTTGCAATGCAGTGTAATGCCAACAGTATGGGTTACGTTCCTGCACCAACTGAGGTCACTGAAGGACCCTCTCTCTCAATCTCTTCCCCTCGCCCAAGGTTTGGTGACCCTCAGGTTAAACCACTACCAGTAGTCTCTCTCTAATGGTAGGACTATGGTTACTTTGCTAAACAGCGATCTGTTTCTCTTTCCAGAAAGGATTCTTCACAAATGACATTTAGGTTGTGTAAAGGAGAGTTCCTGCGGCACAATGGTAGTGTCCACAAATTGTGTCTGGGATGTAACACCTGGCACTTACCTTTATAATAAGAAAAAGTTAAGCTATCTCCTTGACATGTTTTGAGGGGGTTTGGTCTGGTCCATAACATGTAACTATAGTTCAAAGACTGCAGTCTATAAGTGTTGATTCCCTTGCAATTCTGTAATGCTGTCATACTCCAGCACGTTGAAATAAGAATTTGAAATTCTAATCCATAAATTGTGCGCAGATTGGCCTGAGTTAGTACCTGACTTTGTCTTTGTCCCACCTCCCCAGCATTTACATACACTATAAATGCTGTCCAAGCTCAATCCATGAATAACAACATATTTCAGTGTTGTAAGAATATAAGAAAGGAGCAGTAGATCATACAGCTCTTGGACCTGCAATTATGACTGATCTCAACTGCACTTGCTTACCTGCTACCTTCTATGTTGCCTGCAAGACCAAAAATGTCTTAACTCATTCTTAAATATACTCAACAATGGAGCATTTGTAACCTTCTGAGGCAGACTATTTCAAAGATACACAATACTTTAAAGACTGAGGGGAAATTACTTCATTCAATTATCAACCCTTTATCCTGCGACTGTCTGCCTGAGTTCTTCATTCCCAGTCAAGGGAATCAAACTTTCAGTGTTTATTGTCAAACCTGTTCAGAATCTTGTATGGTTCAACGAGATTGTTTTTATTCAGCTTGAGTTCACTGTCTGAATGCAGGTCTAACTCCCAAAACCACGACACCAACACCGGTAAGGCAAGATGGTAGGTTCCAAATCTGCCCAGCCAAAGACCATGCTCTTGGCACTAATCTGATTTACACCAGCCATCAAGCCAAATGGTCTCCCAGACAGTCTGAGTTGCTGCGCAACATGCACTTTTATATGTATCTTATAGCCTGGAACTATGGCTAATGATGGTACAGGCTCCAATTTATTTTCATCATTTAGCTGATCAGGAATCTCTTCTACTCTTGCCACCTGCCTTTGGCATATGTTAGAAGAATTTGTAGGTTGATGCTATTGATCTTAAGGGTTTGTAATCACAGTTACTTAATATAGGCAATCGACGATTTCAAATAATTTTCTGGTAGTTTAATGAGAAGCAGCAATTCAGATGTGGTACATTAATTAATTAGACAAAATAAGAAATCTTGACCTATCCTGGAGCTGTTCTGTAGAATGGAGAGGCAGTGCATTGCCACATCCTACTGGTCCTGCACCCTTTTGTGATAGTCTCTGGTCAACTTTTGTGGTCTTGGTACCAACAGTCAGTGTTCTTCCCTCAGGCTGATGTAGGGGAACTCCTTAACTTCCCTCAAGGAAATAATATAGTTTGTCTTCTTGCCCCTTCCTCCCTTCCTGTCCCTGTTTATATACCTTACTTTGGGTGCTGGCCATTAATGCTATGTGAAGCACCTATCTAACTCTTTTTGACCAATTCCATGGGATAGCTACTCATAATGTCAAATGATTGTTGTTCCCTTGTCCGTCTTCACCTGAGGGTCAGTTTACCATGCTTTCTAAGAACAACTACTTTATGTTTTGAACCATACACAGATAATAGGATGTATTTGGCATCAGAAATTTTTTGCTTTGCTTTATTGTTGTCATATGCACCTGGGTACATTGAAAGGTTTTGTTTTACGTGCAGTACAGGCAGATAATACCATACAAAGGTTATTGAAGAATGCAATGTTCTGGCTTCAGAGAAAATGCACAGAGTGAGATCAGCATTAAATTTAAAACTTGAGAGGTTCATTCAGAAGCCTAATAGCAGAGAAGAAACTGTTCTTGAATCTGTTGGTATATGTGTTTAATCTTTTGTATCTTCTGCCGGATGAAAAGGGTTGGAAGAGATTATAACCAAAGTGGGAGGGGTCTTTGATTATGTTGGCAGCCTTCCCAAGGCAGCAAGAAGAATAGATGGAGTCAATGAATGGAAAGTTGGCTGGTGTGATGGACTGGGCTGCGTTCACAATTCTCTGTAGTTTCTTATAGTCCTCAGCAGAGCAGTTGCCATACCAAGCTGTGACGCATCCGAATAGAATGCTTTCTATGATGCATCTATAAAAATTGGTAAGAAGCTTTGTGCACGTGCCAAATTTCCTTAGCCTCCTGAAGATGTGGAGGCATTGTGTTTTCTTGACTGTAGCATCAACATAGATGGACCAGAATGTATTGTTGGTGATCGACACTCCTAGGAGCTTG